CAATTTACTTAGCTCAAGAACCTGACTCTTGGTGTATCCCATTTGGCTAATATCGCTCTTTCAGCGTGGAGGGTAATATATGATTCCCCTTCTCCTTGTCCACATTAAAAGGACGTGAGACATAGGCAGGGGAAGCCCAGTGCACATACGCAGAGACACAGTTCTTTGTAAATTCAAGGCATCAAGTTGCCGTTCAAGAATCCCAGCACTCACAGGGTTAACCACCCTTTAGGTTCTAATTTACATTCTCTGTGTATTGGCCAAGATTAGAGTATACGTATGAAGGGGGCGTGACTTAACCGCTCCGTTCGAATTTGGCGGGAGTTGGGTGTACACGCCCCTCGTTTTTCCTATTGGCCGGTGGAACATTTAAACCTGTCCTCTTTGGGGCACATTCAACCATTTTTGCCTCTGACGAAGGCTCTGTAGGAAGTGCCGAAACGCACGTTAGGCTAGACTTAGGACAATATGTAGATAGGCTTTTACATTTTGATGCTCTGTAGCCAGATAGACCTACCGATTTTTAGACAGTGCTAGGGTTGTAGGGTGGGGGTTCATTTTCTAAGATAGTCCCGTTTAATCAATTCATTAAGTTCTCCCCATTCGTACTTACAGACACTACACACCCTGGAGGCTGTGTTCCTATATTTGTTTTATACAACTCCGTTGTCCCCCATTGTCAGCTCGCTCATAACCTTGTACTTTGCTGCATCGGGGATCAGTGTTTACCGCTAGTGGTGCCTCATTTTCATACTGAGCAGCACTCTAGATGGGTGGTGTTCTCCATGTAGCATTCACTCAGTAGTCGAGCAGCCAGGGGTTACGTTTGTTTACAGCTTAGCATTAGCAAGCACACTTTGAAACTTGACGGAGTGTTTTACCAGGCCATTAGCTATCAGATACAATGTAACATTATTTCCGTTTGGCACGAGTTCTATCTGCACTGGCCACTATGTCAATGCTGCAGCAAGTAGACACATACCTCTCAGCAACTTCTGGAATAATACAATGTACAAATATGGAATATATTATAGCCACCAAGGTCATCATATGATCACTCTTTTCACAATCGGTAGGTGCTCATAGTCCCCTGCAGTTTACTTTTGGATATACCATGAGTCAGGGTTTTGAGCCAGAGAATACTATAATTGAATACTCAGAGGCTGCTATTACTCCCGTTTGGATTTAGTAGGAGTCAACCATTCTTAGCTAATTGCATTAAATTTTAGCACTCATATTTTGAGCTACAGACACCTGCACATGGGATGCCTTGTAACATTTGACTGATGATATTAGCCAAATGGGATACACCAAGAGTCGGGTTCTTGAGCTAAGTAAATTGCAATTTAGTGCTCAAAGGCTGCTATTACTCTTCTTTGGATTCAGAGTCAGCCTTTCTGAGCTACAGTTATCATATTAGAGTTTAACTCTTACATTTTGAGCTACAGACACCTGCACAGTAGATGTCCTTGCAACATTTGGCATGGTGATATAAGCCAAAGGGCACCCCTTGTTCATAGGACTGGCCGCATGTGCCTCTCCAGCCTATCTCTTTTTCTTTATTTATTTTGTTTATATTTTTTCTTTTGGTTGCACGTGTGTATTTACAAGTTGTTTTTTAATTTATATAGATCAATAAAGGTTATATTTTAGCATATGATTATAAGGGTCTCCAGGGACGACTTATACCAGGACCCTCAGGGCTTTTTGCCCTTGGGGATCCTTTCTTTGTTTTCCACACATTAGTGAGGGTTACCCCCTATAAGGCCGTCCCTGACACACTACTACTAGTTCCCTTAGAGGATACTAGATTTTTGTTTGTACTTATCAAACAATAAATCTCCCAGGAATTGAAGGCCACACAGTGATGCCTTGGATGCATAGTCGGCACCCCACAAATGAAGCCATGAGGCTCTTATAGAGGCCACAGATTAGGCCATACCTTTTGCGATCATACGAGTGATGTCTAAAGAAGCTTCTGAGCAGAACTCTGTAGCCAGGCTGAAGTTCTTGAGACTTTCCAGGAGATTTTCTCTGCAGACTCCATGGTCAATATCCTCCTCTAGATTTGCAATCCATACTCGCAAGGCCCTTGAGAGAGTGGTTACGACTACCACAAGATGGAGAGCGGAGTCTAGGGTCAAGTACGATGTGACAAACTCCCCTTCCCACGTGAGTTTGCCAGAGCTCCTGGAGGAGCTTGCTTGCCAGCCTCCTGACCGCAGACTATGGGCCCTGCAGGGAAGCCTGTAAAAGACTAGTTAACTGGCTTGGTTTGTGCCCTTTCTCTATACTGTTCGGGAACCGAACAGGCACAAGAACCATGGACTACCCGGGAGCTTGTTAAGTCTAATTGACAGTTTGTAACACGTTCCACCGCAGTGTCCTAATTGTTCGCCTGGGTGGCCGCTGTTTGCATGAACGACCACGAGGTGGCGGCCATCTTGTTCTCATGAACCCAGGCAGTGGTGTTTGGTCGTCGAGTTAATGGAACTCAAATCGGACTCAGAAACTACCAAACACCGATGGACTTCCATCATCGCCTGCGTTCGGTTCTATATGACTATAGAAGGGTACTGTTCGGTGGAAGCGTTCCCACGAACAAGGTGAACAAGTTCCAGGGTAGAACTATGGATTCCGTTCGGTAGTTTGTTCATTTTTAGCACTGATTTCATGAAACTGTTTTGGGCATAGGACAATGTGCACGGTCTGTCAAAATTATGACTTCCAGGGAAATTCCAAACCCCTGAACTGATCTGGTTGATTTTTGGATATGTTGGTCACCCAGATCGGGGCTATCAAGGGATGTGTTTTTGGTATGTGTTTTAAAGGTATTTTGGGGGTTTTGTAATAGTGTATGTTTTTCTGTGCCTGGAGATAATTGAGTTAGTTCAATTCCTGACTCAATTATCTCTCAGGCACAGAGGAGGAGTTTGTAACTTGTAACTAGTCCCCTCTGAGATTATCCTGTTTGTGTGGGAGTGTCAGGGGCGTTCTTGACTGTATCTGAAATTGTATAAATGCAGGCCATCTGGCCAGATTAAAATATTCCAGCTTGTACTCCCAGAACTATGTGTAGTCTGGTCACTGGGAGGGGAAAGGGCTAATCACTAATCGCTGTTCCAGTGTGGAGGATTCAACGGGGAAAGTTCTTGTAAGGACTAAAGCTCCCAGGACTGAGTGTCGTCCAGTGCCTAGGGGTGGACAGAGCGAGTTCCCCATTCGGCTCCAGGAGGGAGTGGTTACAGGGCCCCAGTCAAGCCACGGCGACTGTGGGCAGAGGTGCTGCGGTTTGTCCCCTATTCCAGCTAGCAAGCGGTCCTTGGTGGAGGTACCCAGCCAGGGATACAGTGAGCTCCATTACATACGATTGTATGAGGTCCCCATCCATCCTTTTTTCCATTGGTTCTCTGAGATAAGCCATGGAGTTAATGGGGAGAGTAGTTTTATGAATTACAGCATGGTCAATTTTAGGAATCGAATTCCAAACTTTGCTGTCATTGACAGAGTAAGGATAAATCCTTGTAAACTTATTCTTTAAGGTGGATTTTCTTTCAGGTTTGTTCCATTCTTGACAAATGGTGTCCTTGATTGAAGAATGTACCAGAAAAGTAGGTCTATTTGGCTTGAGATCCTCAAAGTACCTGTCTGCTTCTCTCAACTCCGATTTTTCTTCCGTGAGGCTAAGTGTATCTCTTATTAGGGTAATCAGCCAATCAATAGACTTAGAGTCCATAGACCTGGAGGTATTATCAACGTCCTCCTCACCATCATCTAAGACCTCCAATATATCAGTGAACACAGCATGTCGGCATCACACAGGATGTTTGTCCTGCTTGGGGAAGTGTCCCCAAACATCACTGAAGACTGACGGAGGAGAGATGGTGGACTAGAGATGGGTGTTACAGATAAGGCCATTGTGAGACTATTTTGAGCCCTAGGCAAGTCCATCTACTTGCACCCTAACCCAAAACAAAAATTGCCAACTTCGTGTGTCTCCTTCTTCACCCAGTCCCTTTGTGTGTCACTTTCTCCCCAAACTAATTTTTCCCTTTTCCCCGTGTGTGTCTCTTCGCCCACAGCATCTTCATGGGTCTCTTTCTTCCCCCAGCCCCTCTGTGTGTCTCTTTCTAGCCCCAGCACCTCTCTAGGTCTCTATGCCCCCTAGCCCCTTTGTGTGTCTCTCTGTGTGTTCCAAGCTCTTCTGTGTATCTCCTTGCCCCCTCAGCCCTCTGTGTGTCTCTTTGTCACCCACCCATCCTCTTGTGGTCTCTCTCCCCCTGCTGTGACAGCTCATCTACCTCCATGAAGCGTAGCCAAGCTGCAAGCCGCTGACCGGGATGGAGGATCTTCTGTTTCCTCTACCTCGGCTGACAGGAAGCTGCTTGATGCTCTCAGTGACCAGCAGAAGGGATCACCCAGATATTGTATGAGGTCCCCATCCATCCTTTTTTCCATTGGTCCTCTGAGATAAGCCATGGAGTTAATGGGGAGAGTAGTTTTATGAATTACAGCATGGTCAATTTTAGGAATCGAATTCCAAACTTTGCTGTCATTGACAGAGTAAGGATAAATCCTTGTAAACTTATTCTTTAAGCTTTAGAGGGTGAGGTGAGTCAGAACAGTTTTAATGATGCTAATAGGTGACCGGTGTGTCATTAACCCACTGATGTGGACCTTACAGTTTATGTATGATTTTAAGATGCCATAAAGGTGCATCTAAAAATTTGCTTTCCAGTATTGCATGTTTATTATATGCTATTGATTTTACTATGATATATTTTAGTTGCAGTGTATAATAGTAGTTTGAGAAGAGTTTTAAAGGACACAGTTTTTTCAGATTATTATATAAGTATTTAAAGTTAAGTGCCCATATTGTCTCTTCAGGAGGATTGTGATTGCCTTGTCTACTTTTTGTATATATTTATTTTATCTCTCTCTCTGATTTATTGTTTTCTTTCATTTGTTGTTGTTGTATTAAATACAGAGGGGGAAAAAACTTGACATACAGAATTTTATATATATAGAAACTGAGATATTTTTATTGTACAGTTACATATACACAATTAGTTGTATTATATTTTATCAGGGAAACTTTTACACACAGATGTTCATTTTACATATATTTCCGGCATTTTCCCTGAAACAGATATATTTTGTGTTTTAATAATTTGGCACAAAATAGTTTTGAAAATATTGTTTAATAAAAAGTCATGAGCATAATTTATCTAATGATAAAAATGATATGTTTAAATATGGCCACGTATCTACAGCATTGAATGAGTAGAAGTAGAACTAGTACTGCGATAATAAATATTTATTTTAAACCTTGGCTTCCTATTTAAGATGGTTTTGTTTTCTTCTTTACATCTATTTAGTAGTAAAATAGGGTTATGTTTAGTGTTGTTTAACAGCATTAAAAGTGAGTTATGTACTTAGCATGCCTCCCAGCATAGGACAGTATCTAAAGCCGGATGCTGATGGCCTGACCTAAATGGGGAAAACCATTGACACAACCTGTACTACTGGCACTGCTCAAATGCTGGAACCTGACCCAAAAAGGGGCATGTCAACCGGGAGTGAATGCACACTGCCAATCACACTGGCTGGCCCCATTATGGGTGAACCGTGCATAGAATGCTGTTACAATGAATGGTTCTAGTGCCCTTAGCACAGCACATGTATGTTTAATGATGCACTTGCACTACACTTTCTCGGGACATTTTCATGGTGTCTCCAAAAGAGATACAAGAGGAAACAAACAGAGAATGGTGGGACAGAAGTCTGAATTAGTACTGTCTTGCTGAATTCAGGACAGTTTTGAGGCCTGTACAGGGACGTTTTGAAGGAATATGATACTGGAACTGTAAAATATTCTATTTTTTGGAAATTTTTCATGCATTTCCCACTGCAGCGTGGTTGATCTTGAGTGACATGAACAGACAATAATACATGTTACAAGCTCTTATCTATTTCTGAGTGTCCACGGAAAATGGGGTGACCTAATTAGAATTACCAACAATCATATTGTATCAATATCAATGACTTTGTAATGCTTGCACACCCACATTGGTGGTGTATATATATAATGTATATATTATATTATATGTGTAAGACAGAAACAATGAGACATAGACACTGCGACACAGAACATCAAGGGCAGAGTGTCTCAGCACTCAGAATGTCTGGCATATACCTTCAGCTTTAACATGAATTATGTTGTAAGAACTGACTTTGTATTTGTGAAGCAATAAGAATAAATCTGTTTTTATAAGAAAAGCCAGGGAAGTCTGATTACACTATTTTTTATGTGACACAGAACAACATATGTATGTACTGTATATGATACCAGCAAGCCTATTTTAAGAAAAAAAAAATACTAACATACATACATACGAATAAGTAACAAATAGAATTATTACTTTAAGATTTCAATTTTCTACAGGAGCATACCTGGCAACATGTGGAGGTATTAAGACAGTATGAAAGGATCAGGAGGACAGGACATTAAAATAGGTGATGTCAACCAGTAGCACTTATGCCAAGATGACATTCATGGCTAGAACTGAGATGGCTGCATAGGGACTCAAACTCAGAAATGTCTTATATCTAGATTAGCTGTAAGGTATCTGCAAAGCAAGTACTGCCATTGATGCGCCTTGATTTACCAGCACTCTTAAAATTTAAAGGGCATTTACAGGATTTGTTATTCTGCCAATAAAAATAAATGCTTTTGTGGTGCCTTCAAATACAGCTAGGAGAAAAGGCTCATTATATTTCACTTCCAGAGGTTCAATGTCATCTTTGTCCGACAAATGACTCTTTACTTCACTTGTGTCCAAGGCAATGCTTTCCAATTCAAAATTAACTTTATTTATAATCTGAAATGATATACAATAACATTTATTGTTAGAATTACTGAGGAATGTTTCATGAAAGCACATTTTCTCTCTTCATTTAATGGGTGTAAAAATATATCCATCATACTGAACATATATGACAGAAAATATTTATCGCACCAATGTTGAGGTATAAAATAGACGTGTGCACAAATCCATTATATTTGGATTGAACAAACCTATCTTTCCAGGATTTACCCGTGGACAACAATTTTGCACCCTAGGTCAGACCAGCTACTTGCACCCACCCATCCAAAAAAACTAATTGCCACCTTTGTGTATCTCTTTCTTCCTGCAGCCCCTTTGTGTGTCTCTTTCTGCCCCAACCCCTTTGTGTGTCTCTTTTTTCCATTTCCCAGCTCCTCTGTGTGTCTCTTCCCCCCCAGCACATTTGTGGGTTTCTTTCTCCCCCATACCCCCTCTATGTGTCTTTTTCTCCACCAGCCCTTTTCTCTGTCTCTCTCCCCAGCCCTTTTGTGTGGTTCTTTCTTACCCCAGCCCCTTTGTGTGGCTTTTTGTCCCCCTTCCAACCCTCTGTGTTTCTCCTTATACTCACAGCCTCTCTGTGTGTGTCTCTCTGTCCTTCCAGCCCTTCTTTGTGCCACTTTGTCCCCCAAGTCACTCTTTGTGTCTCTTTGGCCAGCCAGCCCCTCTGTTTCTCTCTGTCCTCCAGCCCTTCTGTGTTCCTCTTTGTCACCCCCACCCCTCTGTTTGTTTCTTTGTCCCCAAGCCTCTCTGTGTATCTCTTTGTCTTCTACAGCCTCTCTGTGTGCCTCTTTGTGCTGCCCCAGCCCTTCTGTGTGCCTCTTTGCCCTGTGTGTTTATTTCTGCCTCTAATCCTTTCTGTGCACCTAATTGTCCCCCCTCAGCCCTCTGTGCACCTCTTTGTTCTTCCCCCCTCCCCTCCTGTGCCTGCTGACCTCTCTCCATGTAGTGTGGCCGAGCGGACCACGATGTTGGATCTTCTGTTTCGTCTACCCAATCTGACACTACCTTGGTCCGCTCGGCCACAATACATGCTGTGACCTGCAGGAGGGGGAGTGCTGTGCTCCACCCTTCTGCTGGTCACCCGGAGACTGTGCTCCCCTAACACCACCTCGGTTGGTGTGCCCTAGACAGCTGCCTAATTCCCTGAGCGGTCACACCAGACTTGTCTGTGGAGTTATATTCCATCGATAAGACTGGACAGATTGACTTGTTTGGGTGCGGATTAAAAATAATTTGATTAATTCAACCCAGTTTAAATGGATTTGTGCACAAATATTTTATAATCCTCCAGTCTTCTGCTTGCACAGAGTGTAATTTTTAATAACTTAAGAGATTCATCAATGAATTGACGCTATGCATCTAGTACATGTTAATGCACTGTTAATCTAAATCAAAGTCCTTTTAATCCACACCTGAACAAATGGATTCATCTGGGATTTATATGGGTTTTTCCTTACTCCACATATAATTTCCAGGGAAATAGATTTGTTACAGTGCGGATTAAAAGGAATTTGATTTGGATGAACTGGCAAAAATTAGCTTTCTGGACTTATTGTAAAGAGCTGATTATTATTCCCTTCCCGCTATGGTTGGGTAAAACCACAGAACACTAATGTGACGGTGACCTTATTTTTGGCATTCTTCAGGTAAATTCAAACCTGCCCCTTTCTATTAGTTCACCTGTCCACTGGCTCAGCTGCTGTCCTGTTATGATCTGTGCAGTAATACTAGAAATATACAATAAACGGATCTCACATAGATACCTCAGTTACTTCATGTGGGTCCAGTCAGGCATTAGTAAGGTAATTGTATAAGTAGTTTATATCACCCAAGAGCAACTCCACTTATGACATAGGTTGAGTGTAAGTAGATGTAAATTGGTTACATGGCACCAGGGACCGGAAAGTGGGGTTTCTTTTTTTGTGTCTCACTTTGGATATTGCATTCACATTCATACACTTGACACATTTATATACATAGACATTCATATTCACACACATGCACATTCATACACACTTAATTTTTCTTTTTATTTGATTTTTTTTTACAGTGAGTTCCAGCTCCCTTTTCTTTCCTTGTAAAGAAGGTGTAGAGGAACCTCATCCCTGGGATCCAGTAATTTGCTGCTGAGATCCTTCTCTGCACTTATTGCCCAACTCTCTGACAGTGATAGGGTGACATCATCATACAATGGCTCCAGCAACAATACAGGTTAGAAAGAGAGCAAAAAACGGGGTGCAAGAGTATACCGAGGTAAGAAAGAGAGCTGAGCAATCTGGAGAGCCAGTTGACAGGTGCTCTGGTTCAAGAAGGGTTTTCTGTGAACACCTGCTGCCGATCACATGGGATGGACCTCCACTTGCCCCCCAAGGCTCACTGTTTATAAAACTTGGCTTTCTCTCTTAGGAAGAGAGAAAACTCAGTCCAAGTTTGCATGCAGTGTGCACATGCTTAGTAACTCAGCTCCCTCGTGGAAGGAGAGAACACTCAATCCAAGTTTTGCATGCAGCAAGTTAATAATAGGCAGTTGCAACTGAACATTCCAGCTGCCTGATTGATAGCTAGCAGGAGCTGTTGGTTCAGGGTCCTCTATGTGCCATCACCATTTAAATTATGCAATGAGTTTTGCATGACAATTTAATCTTAGGTGTGACAATGTAATCTTAATTAAATGGTTGGCCACTCCTTATTACTTATCTTCCCCAAGAGTACTTTTAAAGTGTTACTCCATGATATGAGGAGTATCCATGTTTCCCAGTAATGGGGCAAAATATTTGGTTTGCCTTCTTACCTGGGTGCCCACTGGGTGCCAAGGCTCCTTGAGCCTCTGGTGATGTGCATCCATCATTAATCACTGTAAGTGGTTCGGGTGCATAGAGTAACCATTTAACCTTTTAACCCTCTGCATTATGGATTGTATTCTTACCCCTTCTGTGCTTGCAAACTACTTTCTGCACTTACTAACTGCCATGCCACAACCATAAAATATTCCTATGAACTGGCGGATTACTGATTCGTTACTTTATTGTTCTATAATATTTACATTAAAGGCTTGAAGTAGTGCTTTAAATAAACGTTACCTGCCCCACTTGTATGTCAACATTGCTTATTTTCCTAAAATTCGCTGTATTTCCAAGTAGAGATGGAACTCCTAGTTTGGCAAGAATCTCTTGAATGTCATAAGAACTTTCTATTTCCAGCTTTGGCAGAGATAAGTCGATCTTCCTTAAAAATATAAGCAAGATATTATTTAATATGTATAATTATTTATTATTTAATTAAGAGAATGAATTGTGGAATATAGACATACCTATTTGATAAATTATTCAACCATTTTTGAAATGTATCCCAAGAGATTGAAGACTCTATATTCTTAAGTGTGTTCCCGTTAGTTGGCTGAACCAACAATAAGAAGTCATTTTCACTAATAGGAAGCTTTAATACTGTTTGATTCATGGTATCATCAGTCTTATATTGAAACATTCCAGATACTGACAACATTGGAACCAGAATTTTCCTGTTTGGCTCAATCCAAAAGTCTTGAGGTTCGGGAAACAAAAATGAATTGTTTATCTTACCTAGATAACAAAAAATAAGTACACGTTAGTTTTCTGATCCAGCAAAGTCTCAATATCAGTTACAATCTACATGGCTTAAGACTGCCCAGGAAAGACTCCTAATAACTATAAGTTTTAAGCATACTATACATGCTGACATATCTTTCTCAAGTGTTTATTGGTCTTGTGAGACAGAGACATTGCCGTGGCACAGGCAAGCAAAATTGGCAGATTCATAATTTGCTCCACACATAACCCAATTTTTCTCTCTGTTTCAATAAAGTCATATGTTATGCACAATCATGTTGTAGAGGTCCAATTCCCCTACCCATCAAGCTAGCAACAGTTATCTTCTACAACCTTTCTTCTATTACTAACCTCACTAACATACCTCTCCCTTTCCCTAATCACCAAAGCTGCAATCTTGTCTGGGTCCCCAACCAAACCACCCTTATGTGCCACACCTACACTCTACTCTATGTTTCCAATGACATTCAACCTCTCATCTCACTGATACTACACTAACTACCACATGGACTGCTGTGACAAATGCCGTCTACAATACTACCTTCTCAAGAACCTCTCCAATCACTGCCCTCCCTGCCCATCAAACTAAACACCAACCAAGGCATACAAAAGCAACCCAGTACCTCCAAAGGTGCTCGGGGATGGTGAAACATTACTAGATGAAGTCTTGTAGAATGACTCACTTCAAGCACCTTGTGATGTAATTCAGTATTTTAACATATAGAAGTCAAAACTGCCCTGATGGCTGCTTTTAAGGGTATGAAACTTTTCTGTTGACCTTCCTCCAAGATCTCTCTCCCAATACTGTGCTGTGGCCAAACTCATTTCAACCCATCATTCATCAGCATCAGAACTTGGAAATACCCTAACCCAAAGTTATCTTCTAGCGCACGGGTAGGCAACCTTTTAGCAGCACTGTGCCGATATAGGATTGTGATGTCCCGTAGCGTGCCGGTCCTATTTTTTAAAATTGAGGTGTGTATGTTGCCGTATTCTGCTTGTGTTATTTATACTGCAATTGCTTTGTATCATTGTATTTGTTTGTATATGAGCTATTAGATTGAATATGTTCATTAGTAGTTTATGGTATTGTATATGATACATATAAATATGGGCTGTGTATGAGGGCTGCTTGTGGAATTGTGTGTGGATGGATATGTCACATTGTGTGTTTGGTAGTGTGTGTGGGCTGTTTGTGGTATTGCATGTGAGAGGCTGCGGGGGTTGTGTGCATGTATGTGGATTGTAAGCGGGTTATGTTTGTGTGGATTGTGTGTATGTTTGTGTGTGGACTGTTCGTATTATTTGTATGAGGGGAGGGTTATACTGCATTACTGGGTATATCTAGCAGTGTGGGTGGCTTCCCTGGGTTCCAGTGGGGACCAGGCTGGCCAGGTACCGGTAAAGGACAGCAGCAGTAGCAGCAGCTGCAGGCTGCTCTACTACAGTGTGGATTCCCATTTACAAGTGCTGGGAGGAAGGGATCTGAGATCACTTCCTCTATGTGCTGCAATGCATAAATTGAGGATGGTCCTTCACCACCTTTTTGTATTAGCAGATATCTGAAGCTTCACTGGGACTTCTGATAGGCCACAGCCTGTTTGGCTCTAGCAGCCTTGAGTGCCGTGCAAAGACACCTTGAGTTGCCTACCCCTGTTCTAGTGGGTAGGGTGGAGTCCTACACGAATTTACCTCTCACATCCTTTCTGAAGACTCTTGGCATACTTCCTAAGCAATACAATGACCCTATTATAATTGGAACATTAATAAGATTGCCACTTTGTGCCTTATGTATCATGGCTCCTGAATGAAGAAACCCTCTCCCCTCCCCGTGAGGAATATAATTGAGAAGACCAGTTGCTCGAATGGTTTATTTATTGCTCTTTATAATATGCTAATATATGTATAAGATTGTACTGTGTAATACCTCCCTCACCCCCTATTTCACCTGCTGTATTCATAAGGTCCACAACATATTCATATCTTCCTATCACTTACTTTAAAAGTGTTATATCCCAGTTTCAGTTTCAATTAATTATAATGTTATATAATAATTATATAACATGCCCTTGGGGTATATGGTAAAACAGAGGGTACCTCAACATTTCAACAATTAAGATCATATTTTAATATGTAATGGTTTCTTAACTTTGAAATGAGTGTATTACTTTGATGAAAATTTGTTATTAGGGTTACTTTCCTGTGAAGTTTGATAGCTTTAAACTAGTGGTAACAAGTTAGAAAAATAGTTTATTGTACTGTAAATTGCACTGCAAGACAAAGGTTATACTAATGCAAAAGAACATATATCTTAATAAAATGGCAAATACAGTATGAATATTAAAATAAACTGTGTTGTGAAATATGCAAAGTGAGTCTATACATATTGTTACCAGTCTGCATATTTCAACAACATCAGTAATAAATAGTGAATTTTAACTAATAGCTCTAAATTGTTCTTACCTGTGAAATGGATGTAGCTTGTGTATAAAAGATTGGCCGATTCATCAGTAGACTTTAATACATTTAGATTTTTTTTTGATGTTCGAGACTCCAAAAAATCATTGATCAATTCTGCAGTTTTAATTGAATTTGTGAAATCAACTGACCTCACATAAAGTTCATCAGCTGATGGAAGCAAGTTCTGTACAAACATCTCTGATAATGGGACGTCTGGGGCAACAAAGATGCACGCTATAGTCAAGGCATCAATGTTGGCACCTTTGGAAAAGAGTAGGTTGTCAATGTTTCTGAGGGTTGAAAGAACTTTAAGGCCATTCACCTTAGATGCACAGTCTGCACGACCTGATGAGTGCAGAAAGCCCAAAATTGTCTGTAGATCATCCGAAGTATCTCCAGAGGCACCAAGATAGAAAGATATCATAGTTGCATATAAGTTGGTATAGGACAGGAGAAAAGTGTCATCTTTGCTCATTTTCATCAATGCATTTAGGGCCCGGAAACCAAAATCATTCATTAAATATGTCAAACTATTTAACATGTAGTTTCCTGTAATTCCAAGTTGTTTTACGTCGAAGGATGTTTTCTCTTTCACCAGTTCATCTTCAGACTTTATCTTGGAATCAATTGAGATGGGTATGAAAAGCTTTTCAATTGTGTGATTTAGCTTTTCAGCTTTTTCACACTCTGTTTTGTTGAAGTTGAAAAGGTTGAAAGGATGCACATAGACACGGTTGCATACTGACACAGCAACATAAGCAGCTAAATGCAGAAGAATGATTTGGACCTTCATGGTTACTCAGAATCAATGAAGCCTATAAAAAATAAATCAAGGCTGTAAATTATGTGTTCAGAATGTTTTAACGATGCTTTATAGTAGTGAGAAGTAAATATATGCAAAGTAGCCTATGGAAGAAGTAAACGATGCCTGGTGGACCCAATGTAAGACATCAAACCATTAGCAAGCTGTAGTGGTTATGGTGCTTAAAGTGTTCCTCTCCAGGTGCTTGACATCTTCCCCAATTACTTCACTTCTTAGCACTTGCTGCAAATGCTTTGTAAAGCTCCAGGCTATCATATTCAATGTAACCTGCTACCCCTGGTTACCTCCCACTGGTCCCTGCTCCTTTAGAATACATTGTAAACTCACAGGTTATCTAACTGAACACGTTTTATAAAAGAACTACAATAGCTTACTGAAAGCGTCCTCTGTTCCCTTTGTACTTGACTTGTCTGTATATACTGTTGCTGTTATACTATAATGTTTGCTTTCCCTAGTTGTACAGATTTGCAGAAAATTATGGCATTTTATAAATACTAGTAATAATAACGATAATAGTAACTGTTAAATAACACAACGTACATTAACGAGAGATTAGGCAATTAGTTGTTTTTTTCACAAAAAAAAAAAGCCTTTTGGCAACATAGCAAGAATAAAATAAGTAAAATGAAATGTTTTAACTGGTACAGAAAATTGTTCTTAAACAAAATAAATCAATAACTAACTATAAATCTTTCAGTCTGAACTATATCTTTCTCCTGCCCTTCCACAAGTCTTATAATTTTGTTTTTATTTCAGCATTAAATTGACAGTTTTCACGTGTTCTTAACAAATATTGATTGAACTATCTATGGAATGTCTACAATATAATTATCTGTATGAAACATATTTAAGTGTATCAAATCTTTAAAGCTTTTATCCGTACCTTTCAACAGAGCTCTTTTCTGAAGACCAGTTCTTGTTTTGTCCTCTTGAAATCTGGGGCAAACATATATTTGCTTTAAATATTATTTCACCTATTGCATAAGTGCAGTTACTTATTAGCTAACTTTCATGGAATCCTCTCCACTGATCAGAATGTCCTGTGACCACTTGCTGACTTTTTTGTTTTGTTATTTCTCGTAACACAATCCATCTGTTCTTCAAGTAATAAGCAAACAAAGTTAAAACGGTTCTATGTCTATCAATCATTTCCGTTGTTTTGCTTTTTTGTATTGTTCCACTGCATGATGCATACAGTCCAAATAAACAAGCACAAGCCATTGGATGTCCCAACAGTTCTACTTCTTAACTTGTTGCTTATTTTCTTAATCTTAATCTAAATCTTAATCCAATGATCAGACACCATCTGGGAATAATCTAACAAGGAAGATCATTCACAAACATATACATTAGATGCTCGCACATAATACATATATATAATATTTTATTAAAATTACATCAATATTTTATAATGTAATGAATGGTGGGTAAACAGAAAGATCGTACAATAATCCATTCAATATTGATTTGCTCAATAGATTAATGAAAAATAAATCTTTTCTTAATAAAACATGATTTAGATGTTGACTTTCCAGGCATTCTTGAAACGTTTAAAACAATGTTTCCATACTGTGAAAAGTCTAAAAGACAAACTATGTGCAGCATTAAGATCAGCGTGATCTGCCTGCTTGTCATTTTGAAAATAATTGCATTTATGTCAACAGCTACTCGAACGAGCATAACATTTAATAATAACAAAGTATACGTTCAGGTACGTTCAGATTACTCTGGTTTCTAAGTACATATTTTTGCCCAACATCCAGGGGATGTTACTATTACCCAATTTAATGGTACTCGTTTTATCTACCTTGGAAGGATGAAGGACTTAGTCAACCCCAGGGGTGTATTTACCCTGAGGCAAACAAGGCATTTGCCTTGGGCGGCACTTTCTGGGGGGCGGCAAAAAAAGCTGCCCCCCAATTGCCCTGGCAAATGCTTTGCTAGCCTCTTGTCCTAGGGGGCCCAGGAGCTGGCTGGCTGGCCTCCTCAGGGCTCCCCAGGCTGTCAGCGACGGCACTTTCCGGGCGGGCGGCGAGGGAGCACTGATCATCCTGTTCAGCTCCTCGCGCGCACCG